TATTACACTACAAAAATGGATATTGCATGACGAGTCACTTGAATTGATTCATCATGGCAGCTCTGCATAAACAGGTGTAAATTTTAAGTACAGGTATTCAAGAATACACGAAATCGGTGGCATAAACTTAGTATGTGTGTCAGTGTACTCTCTCATTCTGCGTCATTGCGCCTATTTCAATATCGATATCAGTCGTGAGTCGTAAAATACTCTTCCGCTCCTTAAAAATTTCTTGTCTTGAATAATCGGAAAATCCATTCCTAATGGCTAATAATAAAAGATTCTTAATGATGAAGATTTAAATATTAATAAATATAAAATATGTTTTTTTGTTAAAATACTGGCTTGATTATGAAAAGACCAGCTTTACAAAGCATTCCTAAATACTATTCCGTTGTGATACAGGCAAAATTTTAGGTTTTGATTAGGCCTTGTTCCTCCCTGTCCGATAATTTCGATTCAAGAATTTCTGACGCGACGCCCGCAACAAAATTAACTGAAAATATTTACCAACAGCGGCGGCAGCAGAGGAAAATCGTTTTTATTTGGCCGCCAGCCAATTAAGATGCATGACCCCTCCCCCACCGAACTTTGCATATTTGAAATTTTCATTTCAACGTAGCAGCTTTTCTTCGGCCCAAAATTTTAGCTGAGTAGCGCGTGATTATTACTCATTTAGTGGCGCTGACGCCGACATTTCGACTTCCTTTTTTCACATTAAAAAAAGTTTTAATAATAATAATAAAGTTTTATTAGAGTAAAAATACCATTCGTTAATTCTAATTAAAGAAACTTAAATACAGATTAAAGGCCAGTTTATCATATAATTGTTATGTTATTATTATAGACGATCGAGAGGGTAAACACTTCTTATTTGAACAATCGGTGAAGGAAACACGAATATGTTTACTTTAACTACGGGATAGATTAAACAATTTTCAGGCTTATTCGTTTGCCTTTAACTCAAAAATTCCTTATTTGGTGACTATGATTTTTTGTATGAATTCATAAGTCAATGGGTTTTTTTTATGGCACTTTTAAACTCTGATAAAACTGATTGTATAATCTGTTTGTTCTTTATTGATTTGAGCGAATGCTTTTCAGTGCATTTCCAGAAGTGATTAATTATACGTAGTGACGTTGAGAAAATTAAATTGATTGTTTGCCAATCACACAGTAAAAATGCCGGGCGATAATGACATTTGTTGTGTGCCCCCGCACAACTCGACAATTTGTGAAATCCCCTAGCACGTCGGCCGCTGCTGTTATCTAGCCGAATATCTAGCAGTATGTTTTTTTGCGTTTTTTTTGCGTTTTTTTGCGAGTGTCTAAATAATTAGCAAACGAAAGTCAGCCGACAAACCCAAACAATTTGCGATCCGCAGAGTCTACGTGCATCGCTTCGCGTAGGTTCTATTCGCTCTAAACTCAGGCACCGAAGTGCTTATCGAATTTAAATTTGACCCGAACAATATCGGGTGTATTGACAATGGTAGTACTAACAAACTTTAACCATGTTTATGTTGTACTCCGTTCTCCTCAAATAATAATATAAATAATCTGTATGCAATTCAGCTTTATCGAAACAATGCTCCGATTTCAAATCAAAATAGTTTAAAATAAAGTTAATTAAATTTAAATGTCTAACAAGGCGTTTAATAAAACTACTTTTTTGAAACCGGTTGGATGTTTTCTTTGGTCTTTAATATTGTTTATTTGTATCTACTTTATTTTGAATTGGTTTATCTAAAAGTTCAAAATCGGTTGAAAAATTGGTTTTTTTTTTGGGAACTCTGGCAGTATTTGTAAATTCTTCAATTGAAACGAGCTTTAGTTTCAAGTCAATTTACAGAAATAACATGCAGAACTTCAGCTGGTTTCATTATGCGAGCGATCACTGTAAAAATCCAATTGCAGGCATAAAATTGATGTGGCGCTTGATGTCTGGGGCGTCAAATGGCTGACAAGACGAATCGAAATGACATTTAATAAAACTGCGCAAGAAACCGACCGTTTAACGTATTTGGGGACTTCAATTAGAGGGGTGGTGGAGGATTTCGAGTCTGGCTCGTGTTCCATTTCAATTAACCAATATTTTGTGACGTCACCTGCTGGTTGTCAAGTGGCTGAATTCACAAATGAGGTTCATGAAAATTAAAACGTATGGTAAAGACCATTTAAAAGATAGAGAACCCATAAAATTTTAACTCATGACTGCACTTAATTTTATGAATAGGAATTTAAAGTTTGCTTTAAAGCCAAGTTCATTTAGTAATCGTTATTCAACAAAACTCAACAAATAATACCCATTAACTTATTCAAGTCATTATTTTCTTTTAAGAAATTTATTGGCAATAATTATCATTGTTAACTTGAGATATAAAGATTATTTTGAGAACTAAATACTGCGGGCCATTAAACAAATATTTATATTATAAAGTAACTGAGAGTACGACGTGCTCAGATGCATGAATAAACTTAAGTGATTGATTTACTGAACGATTCAATCATTTGTTTACTGTTCCCCGCCCCTCACAAATGTGCAATGGGCATTCGATCACTTGTTGACTTGGAAAGATCTTCAAGTAATGTATCCTACCCGCCCATTCTCCGCCTGCCACGCCCCCTTCGCCGAGCGATCAACAACACAGAATAAAAACGGAATGCTCGCAGGCCGCGTGACTTTTATGACAGAAAATACATTGAGAAAAAAAAACTGTGCTAGAAGAAGCTAACGAAGCTGCAGAACGACAGAGAGCTTAGCGTAGGAATCGTTTATTTATGTTTTAGCGCCTACATATATGCAGAGTTTGTGTATAGACGTATGTTGTTTATTTTTATACAAACACTTGCAGTCAAAAGAATAGTTCTTAAATATAGGTGTTAATTAAAATCGTTTTAAATAAATATTGATTTTGTAAGAATTTGTATCTCAAATGGGTTTCAATCAATTTCAATTCTAAAAGTTACGTATACTTAACGTATATTACGTATACGCCCTGTTACAAACCTTTTTATCTTTGAAGATTTTGGCAATGTTTTTGTTTTCTCTAAAAAGTTGTTATTCAAGATAAATCGGTGCTAAATGATTGACTCGGCTGGTGCGACTGCCTGCATACGTAGGCGCGGTGGCGTGTGTATCCAAATCTTTGAATACATATCATTTTTATGCTCGTGCAGATATCTATTTGTTCCACACTATCCTGATACATATACGATTTTTGGGGGCAAATCCAGTCGCAAAATCGAGCTAGAGAACTAGTGGCAGAACTTTGGAACGATGAATGTACATAGAGTGTTATGTACATGCGGTCAGTCGATGGGCTGATGAAATTTGGATGCCTCGTGGGCGAAAAAACACCAGCGATCCAGTGACGTAGCCAGACGACTTTCGATGGGAGTGTGGCGAAGGGAGTAGCGGCACATGACCAGGGGCAGGGGCAGGGGCAGGGGCAGGGGCTCGATTAATAAGCGGCCAATTGAGGCAAATGAAATGCGCAACCAACAATTAATTGAGAGGAGCCGATGAATGGAGGCGACGCGAGCGGAATCGAGTCATCATAGATGCCACTACTACTGCAGATTTGGCTGAGCGGCGAGAACCTTCTGACGTCGCCAGGGAATTAGCCGACTAATTCAATTTCAAATTTTTATTCAAAGTTAAAAATAGCCAAGAAGATCGAGAGAGAGAGTGAGAAAAGAGGATGCCTTCACCTTGACAATTCTATAATCAAAATATAGAACCATACGAAAGTCTACGCGAATTGCATAAATCAGTCAGAAGGAGGAGGACTTCTATACACACGCAGTGTGTCACGTAGACAACGGGGAAAGTTCCGAGCAACGCCGAGGAAATATAGATCGGGGTATATAACTAGGTGGTTTCTCTACCTTTCTTTTTCCTAGGCACAAAAAATTGATATTGGCATTTCCTTTGAATTTAGACCGATGCCTTTTATTGATACAATTGATTTTACTACCGTTTATAAAACTTAACGCTTAATCCATATAGACTAATCTTTTTTTTGGCGGAAAGAGAATGCAATTGAGATTAAAAACCACTTCTAAATGTACGCAGCTTAAGTGGGAGTTCAAAGAAAAAATAGAAAGCAAAGACAATTCAATGCACAGTTAAAAACCGCAAGAGATTAACATTGCACATTATTTATGTCAGTTGATAAGTTTGTATAACAAATATTTTGCTGGGTAATACATTTTACTCCGGTGAGCCCTACTGATTTCTGTTTTAGTTTCACACATCATACATTTCATATCCAATCTTAAAACTCAGTTAATAAATAGCTTGTTATTTTCCTTAAAAAATTCTTACCAATATTGATAAATCTTTTAATCCATATTCATTTTTATTTAAAAATTGTAATACTTAAAAAGAATTTATGTTTTTCAATCCTTGAAAACCATTTATGAAAGATGGCTGTACTTTTAACATTAGATATTATTATTATTTTTCACGTGCAATCTTGTATTAATGAGAGCTTTTTTAAACCAGTTACTGAAACTTTATTTTAATATTATGTTCGATAAATGTTATATTAATTGTAATTTTTGAAACCCGTTACTGAAAAGTGACTGTACCCTTGAGCTTATAGATTCTCATTTCTCTCGAATAATGTTCTATTAATGATAATTTTTGTATCGTATCTTTGTAATCAGTAAATAGTGGCTAAACTCTTAGCCTGGGATATCTTTATTTTCCTCGATAAACATTTCATTTAGTGGGCATTTTTCCATCATATTTTGGCAACCAGTTACTGAAAGATAACTGTTCCCTTGACCCAACATCTCGATTGGAGAAAGTGGCTATTCTCACATCGCTTTGGCGGCTGTCGGTTTTCTGGCGGTCGCTCGTCGGCAGTCGGCGGTCGGCGGTCGGCGGTCGGCGGTCGGCGGTCGGCTGATTTTCCGGCGCTCGGCTGCCGCTCGGACCGCTCGGAAAGTGGAGAGCTTTCGCCGGGCGGACTATTTGACGCCGCCGCCTTTTGGGATGCGAACAGTTGCCTGCGAATCGCCGCCCACTGCGCTACACTTTTTTTGGCCCGCTCTTGGTTGAAGCACATATATACATATACATATATTTGTATTCGTATTCGCTGGGAGCTGAAATTCGCGGCGAAATAATTTTAGCAACTTGTTATCCGTCCATGCCATGCGCGATAAAATATCACAACTATTTTGCTTGCAAAAGAACGCATGCAAAAATAATTCAACAGATAATAACAGAGGTGTGTGTGTGTGTGTGTGTGTGGTGTGTGCGTGGTGTGTGTGTCCATTCATAAACTCTGTCTACACAGAAAAGAAAATCGTCGAATGAAAGTCATCCGTTTCGGTGGTTTCAGTTAATGTGAACTGGCGAAGCGATCGAAATTGTTTTCTGTGTACACCTTGGTTATGTTCTTTTTTTTCTGGTGCCTATGCTAATCCATGTGTTCTGCTCTCTCTTTTCCCGATCCGTCTGATCCTTCGCGCATCCTCCCAGGACATAATGTGCCAACAAAAGCAACGACCAACGGGACCATGTGCGCCAATGGGTCTCTTGGGACAGAAGGGCCCGAAGCGCCAGAGACCGACTCATCAGGGACCGGGCGGATGCGGAAGCCGCTGGAGAGGAATGGCTCAACGCAGAACCACGCTGTTCACCTCGAGAGAAGGTAACGATCGCCTCTAACCATCGGTTTTACTTTAGTATGCTTTGAAAGTGCATTAAACTTTATAACGGGGTGAAGACCAGAAGCATCTTTCAACCAAAGTCAGTTGCAATTTGTATCTCTGTACAGATTCCAACCGAGTTCGGTTAAAAGAAATGTCATACTCCGGATAGAGAATACAGATCTTTAATCAGATGTATATAACGTAGAAAAGAAGACAACTAAATCAATATATATATTCCTTTAACAGAGATTCAGGAAGATTTCTTAAGCTTCCTCAAAAGTCAATGCATATTGACTTCGAAATTTTTTTTAAGGACAGTTTATTTCCACGATAAAAAAAAATATATTTTATTTATTCACATTCACATATAGATTGTTACTTTTAAAATGTTTGTTATATTAATAATAATTTATACATGTTCCATTTGAAATCAATTTTAAAAAGGTTTCCTTTAAATAAATTCAAGTAGCTTAGATTAAAAGACTACAAAACCTATCTCGAATTTTTTTTTTTTGACTTTTTATTCCCTTTCTACGCAAAATACATAATTTTAAACTTATTTAATAATTTGGCAGTCTGTTTGATAACAAAATATGTTTTATATTTAAAATGACTATAATTAAATTACCCTTGCAGTTATAAAAAAATATATAAATGTTTCCGGTGTAGACGTAAATATTTTCTATTTACTTTGTTAAAAACGCGCTATTCACTTGATTTAATTTTAACACCTTGCTGTCAGTTAAACGATCAACTCAACTCACTCAAAATTAACAAGTTTACGGATCTATTTTTGACATCTATCTACCAATATTTACCGACTTTTGAATCTACTAAAAAATAAACAATTGCATGATGAAATCATGTGTTTGCTTTAAGTAAGTCTTCTTTTTAAATATTGTGATCTCAATGGGATTATTATTTATTTAACAAGCTAAAGGAAATACTTGAGTCGTTTAATTTAAAAAATATTTTTCTGACATTTTTCAAAATTTGGAGATTTAAACTTTTTGATCTAAACCTTGACATAAATATTTTATTTATTTTTCAGGCTGGGCCTCTTCAGTGGGGTGGCTTTAATTGTTGGAACTATGATAGGTAAGTGTAAAGGCCATTCGGAGATGCTTTCCCCCAATCAGAATTGTGAAAACAAATGCATAAAACATTAGCCAGGAATGTGGGCACCTACAAGAAACACGAACACGCAATTTTCCTTGAATTGTGTCAACGGATTTCACTGCTGTTGACTTGGCTGTTCGTCGTTCCTGCTTTTTAATACATCTTTCTCTCAGGGAGTCAGTCGGTGAAAAATATTGAGGCACATTTTTTCATTCGGTTTATTTTTTGGTTAAGATTGGAGGCGCGCATGGCCAAAAATACGTACGCATAAATTTAGCTATATGTACGGCAGAGTACATATACACAGCTTTGGCTTCAGCAATATGTACTGTCTGTCTGTGGGTGTCGAACTGTATGTATATATATATATATATATATATAGATACGCAATCGGCGTGAGAATGAAAGTGGCAACGTGGATTGAGGGCATTTTCCAGGCATTTTTGGGGGGAGAAAAAGGCCAGCTTAATAAATATGGGGGCAAGGTGTGGTTACGGTAATACAGTTGTGGTCAAATGAAGAGCTCATTCGGTAAATCAAAATAATGTCACTAAATTTATTTGAATTTTATGTTTAAGTTTATTAAATTAATGGATTTTAAACGGCGACAAGAAATGACTCAATTTTATGTTACTTTATTCATTAAATCCATTATTAGTGCCTCCTTTATATCTTAGATAAATAAATATAGTTGTTTTTAAAGGTGTTTTTTTTTTATTAATATTTAGTCCATTTAATTGCAATTCGATCTTAAGGAATGTTGTGAAATGTAGAGAACTATTATTTATATTTTGGCTTAGAAGAAGTACTTAATTTGTACTATTTAATAACAATACTCACCGACTTGACCGCAGCTGTATATTATCCAAATGGAGGTTAGGAACGTAGAATTATATATTTATGACACGAATAGCTGCTGCACTTTGACCTTAAGCAATGGCACGCAATTGTGCTACGTTACCAAATTGTTGCACGCCTCCGGCTCGGATGTCCGCCCACCCGATATCCCGTTATCCCGTTCCCGGAGAGTTCTCTGCAAAAAACAAACCGCTATTTACCAGTATTGCGCATTCGCCGCGTGGTCGGAGCTTTCGCCGAAGCTCCCGCCCACTGATGACGTCTGCACCGCCCTCAATCGGCTGGCTATATACCAGCATACCTCATTAGCATAAGCGAATCAATGGGGAAAGTAGGGAAAACAATGTGCTCCCTGATCAGCTGTTTTCCGAACTGCAGCTGGTTAACTTATATCCACATATATCTTTATCCTCTCTGACTCTCTCTCTCTTTTTTTCGTTCGCAGGGTCTGGAATTTTTGTGTCACCCTCCGGTTTACTGGTTCGCACTGGTTCCGTTGGAGTTAGCTTTATAATCTGGCTTGCCTGTGGTGTGCTCTCTCTGCTGGGTAAGTAAACACCCCCCGAATGTAGAAGTCCCCCCAAGAAGGGGAATCACCCCGCAGTGTGCACCACGTGCAACTGACCCACTTACCGCCGCCAAGTGGCCACATCCCAAATCCGAAATCCCAAATCCGACCCTGCACTCATCACAACTTGTTGCACGGCTGGCAGGAGGCCAAACTTTCGCGGAATCTCACACCTCCGCAATGTTGTGCACTATGCATGAACTCAGGGAACTAGTTCGCAAGACAGTGAATAGGATAATATGACTACTGGCATTTTTTTTAATGATATAATTATTAATATAATATTTTCTTGTTAAGAATAAAACGAATATGCAGGCTTATAGAATATCATTATTGTGGCCTAAAATATATATATCATTTATCTTAAAATTAAATTTAAAAAAAATTAAAATTAACATCACATTGAGAAAGCCAGTCCAGGTACCTGTAGTAGTTGATTGCTCTATTTTTATTATATTATATTTATCCTTCGCGTCTAATATCATACCCTAGATTGACTACTTTTGGGCTGTATTTAGTTGGGAGTACAACTTTAACTTTATATTAGCTTTCTCTGACAAATTGCACATTAGAACCATAATATGACATTGAGCAATATGATGTTTAGTTCATTCTAAACAATATGAAAAGTTCCCAATAAATTGATCATCTACATTTTAATAAATAAAAAATGGAATAGCAAGGAAAAGTAATTAACCCTTTCTGTTTTAAAAGTGTGAGCATAAAATCATAGATCCCAAATCAAAATATAATTGGGCTGAATTCCATCCTCGAAGACCATGATTAGTAAACCACAATTAACACCACCACTTATCCTACTAATTTCCCTTGCCGACTTTCAGGCGCTCTGGCATACGCTGAACTTGGCACGATGAACACGTCGTCGGGGGCGGAGTGGGCCTACTTTATGGATGCCTATGGACCGGCGCCGGCGTTTCTGTTCTCATGGGTATCGACTTTGGTGTTGAAGCCATCTCAAATGGCTATAATATGCTTATCATTTGCACAGTACGCCGTTGAGGCCTTTGTGACGGAATGCGATCCGCCCAGGGGCGTGGTCAAGATGGTCGCCCTGGTGGCAATTGGTGAGCATGACTCCACATTTCGTTATCGGGATTAATACCGAAGATGCTGAATAATATTTGGTACAATTCAGTTCCGTTTCTGTCAGAAATTTGTATTTTATAAAAGTTAGATAATCAAATTTACACATCTTAAATATCTTAAACAGTAACTTTATTTAGTTATTCAAGGCAATTGTTGATAAGAAACCAAAATCTATTTTTGTAAGCACCAAAAAATTATATTCAGTCTTGTATGTATGAGATTTTCACTTCAGTATTGAATTTTAATAATATTGATAATGGTCTTGACTTAATATTTTAAAAACTAATCAGAATTATTGGAAAATTAAACCTCACTCATAAGCATATATTTTCTATTGCCAATACTGAATTGGGAAATAAAATATAAGCTTAAGATTTAATTGAACATTAAACAATATTTTAAATAGATAATTGAATACAATCCAAAGATTATATAATGCGACGGAACGGATCTGTATATTCGATATTTCCTTCGGTATTGATCCCTGCGAATACATTTCGAAACGATGATAACTAATGAGTTCGTCTCTTCCGTACAGTGATGATTCTGTTCGTGAACTGCTACAGCGTGAACCTGGGCATGGCCGTGCAGAACGTGTTCACCGCCGCCAAACTGGTGGCCGTGGTGGTCGTGATCTGCGGCGGAGCCTACAAACTGATGCAGGGCAACACGCAGCACCTGTCCAATGCATTTAGCGGCCCCATGCCGAACGTGGGCTCCATCGCGACGGCCTTCTACACGGGATTGTGGGCCTACGACGGCTGGAACAACCTGAACTACGTTACCGAGGAGATCAAGAATCCCAGCAAGAATCTGCCGCGCTCGATCATCATCGGCATTCCGCTGGTGACGCTCTGCTACGCCCTGATCAACATCTCCTACCTGGCGGCCATGTCGCCCGAGGAGATGATCGTCTCGGAGGCGGTGGCCGTCACCTTCGGCAATCGCGTCCTGGGAGCCCTCGCCTGGCTGATGCCCCTCAGCGTCACCATCAGCACCTTCGGCAGCGCCAACGGCACGCTCTTCGCAGCTGGCCGGTAATTATCCCTCTGAATGTGTTGATTAATATGAGAGTGTAAAATTGTAGATCTTAAAAATCATCCCGAGCTTTAGAAACATTCGATAATTGTAGACCTTAAATTAGAAAAACTTGAGAACAAAACTAGAACTACAGAACAGTAAAACGAGCAATATACTCAAAGTTAGGTAGTAGGTCTTTCGTGTGATTATACCTTTTATTGCCATTAAAAGTTGAAGTTCAAGTTATGAGATTTTGACTGTATCATCAATTAATTTTATGTTCATGAAAATGTTTACAAGCTAAAACACAGGAGATTTCCGGAGTACATTCGATTGAAAAGACAAACATTTAAGAGAACTTTTACATAGGCATAAAATAAGATTTTTAAGAAATAGACCTCTATTTTTTAAAAACTTGTTTTATATCTTAAAAATAATACCAAAAACCATTTTAATGGTGGCTATAGCTCCTTACATCTGGATTTTCCATAATCAATACAGAGTAATATAATAAAAAATATAATAATAAAAAAGTCTATAAACATTATTATAATCCATATATGAGTAGATATTAGGGATGTTGCAGAGATTTTTGGAAAGGCACTTTCTTTGATTGGTTTTAAAAGACTATAGTTAGATTTATACTTAGAAGTTATTGTTTTTTTTGTGCCCGGGACAACAGATCACTAATGGTTTTTGCTATTCCCATTGCAGTCTCTGCTTTGCGGCCAGTCGAGAGGGTCACCTGCTGGACATCCTCTCCTACGTCCATGTGCGCCGTCTGACTCCCGCTCCGGGGCTGATATTCCACGTAAGTGTATACGAATACCCCTAGGAATTATCCTCTGTGTAGATAGTTGCATTCCCCATTGCTTCACACACCACATTAACAGACCCGAATCTGCCTAGCCTATTTATAACTAACTGAAAACCTGGTAGTACTCCGTTTTTTGTTCCTCCCTCTAATGCATTTGTATATCATTGTGTGAATGCCCACGTTGGATCCGATCCTCGTTCTAAACTCCCCTTTCTCTCTCTGTATCTTTCTCTGTGCGTACTTTTCCCCGTCTCCAGTCGCTGATTGCCTCGGCAATGGTGCTGCACGGCACGATTGAATCGCTGATTGATTTCTTTAGCTTCACCGCCTGGATATTCTACGGCGGCGCGATGCTGGCCCTGATCGTGATGCGCTACACCAAGCCCAACTATCCGCGGCCCTACAAAGTGCCGATCATCATTCCCGTTGTGGTCTTGGTCATCTCCGTGTATCTCGTGGCGGCGCCCATCTTCGAGACCCCGCGCGTCGAGTATCTCTACGCCCTGCTCTTCATCTTCGCGGGCCTGATCTTCTACGTGCCGTTCGTCAAGCTCGGGATGACGCCGAGGTTCATGAGTAAGTGGCTGTGACATTCCGTGGGGGAAACCGCACTTGAAGAATAATGATATATATATATATAATATATATGATATATAGCAGATTCATCAAGGCAAAACTTAAAGCCAAGAACACATAATTTAATGTTTTAATGTTGTCAAGTAAATACATAAAGCATGACTATAGAAATTCTTAGACATGAGAGACATAACATCATTTATAAAGGTATCTTAAGCAATATCATGATATATTTTAAAAAAATTATATATGTATAGCGACAGATAAAGTTTCATATTTCTCATAACATTTTGGTTTACCTTTTTAAGAGGTTTTAAATCTAGACAGATATCTGAGGAAATAAAGATTTGAATATACATTTACTGGATGTGCCACCATGGTTTTGAAATCACTTTATAAGTGTCTCGAGTGTCTTTGTCTATTTTAAGCCCAAACTCCTTTTTTCTTCCTTTGTTTTACTGCATATTTTTAGACACTTTACAAGTGAATTGAAAACCCTAGTTATTTCAGTGTTCGAAAAACGAAACTTAGACCAAAGTTCGTATCCACATGTGGTTTCCCTTGCTATCCCAATCGAGTACCTATAGACTCTAATTCTCATTCCTATCCTTGCAGACAAGGTGACGCTGTTCTTCCAGCTGCTGTTGGAAGTGGTGCCCACCTCATCGATGGCCATGTTCGAGTGAAGCTGCCCCAAGAAGTGCTCAAGATTGGTTGACTGGGGTCACCAGGCTCGGAACGAGAGAAGCAAATACATTCACTTAATTACTATACAAACGAGGATATATTAGGAGTGAAGCATAGACAGGATACAAGGGGTTGATTTGGAATGGCGATGGAGGAGTGTTAAGAGCAACCTATATTGATATACTGACGTTGTCGTTGACAAAGTAGTGCTAGAGAAACAGAAACTATTTGAAATAGTCTTTTTATGCTATGAGCTGGTTATATTCAAAGGTTATATATGAATATACAGATATTTAGTGTGTATCTTTATCGATTGTGTGTAGCGCGCATAGGCCAAGTTGCATAGTTGATACGTACGTACGTTTATACAAACAAACAAATCTATATATACATATATTTTTGTGTTCTATTAATTAAAGATCAAGACAAATGACAGAAACAACTGAAAACAACACACACTGAAACAGTCGAAACAATCTTTGCCAAGCGGTTGGAAGTGCAGGCCCCAAAAAGAAAGACCTTCTGAAATTGCAATGGGCTGAGGTTTGAGTACAGTGAAGCCAGGAAACAAAGACACCACCAATCCGTACAGTACCCACCTAAATCAACACTCGCCGCAGAGCTTTCGGGTTTATCCTTGTTTGATTTCACTTGACTTTTCCGTTGGCGCTATATACCCACATTATATACGAGTTTAGCGATCTAGGGATCGGCTGGAATAGCAATATTTATATATATGTATATGTGTGTGATGGATCGATAATGATGATAATAATACAGAAAAAAGAAGAAGGAAAAAACCCCAACAAGGAAACACAAAAAGGACAAAGGCAAATTACAAAATACAAAGAACCCAACTGAATGTTTCTAACTTTGTGCGACAATGACGCGTGTGAAATTCGTAGGACTGCAAATAGGCATTAATGATTTGTAATTGATACCAAAGTAAGGTAAAGAAAACAAACACTGAGAAAAAAATTCAAACAAAAAAATAGAAAAAGCCAATTGAAAAAGAAAAGCAAACATAAATACTACTATGGATACTTGTTAAATACATTTTTTTGCGACTTCTGTCTGCTTTGACAAATCGTTGCAACCAAAGCTAGAACTAGATTTAGAAAACGGTTATACTTCTATGGTTATAATTATTATACAATTTTTTTTTTGTTTTCGGTTTTTCGCTTTTCGCGGAGGACTCGTCGTACACGAGTTAGAAAAAGACAGCAGATGTGGATGCCATCTCGCTCGCAAACAATACAAGAATTTACATTTTTTTTCAAACTACATTTTTTTTTTAATGTTTCGCTATGCTTATCAATTGTCTGAACCGATATACAAAACATTTATATCTTTACCTATATATAGGGATACTACAGAACTTACACACACATAAATATATATTTATATAATTTGTTAAGTTTAAAAATTTTATAATTTTATTACCAACTATTTACAATGAGCTAAACGGTAACCAGAACAAATCGAAAATCTCTATCTATACATGTACCTACCACCTAATAAGAAAAGAATTGTATTATGTAAACCAGAAATTGACGAAATAAAGTTTTTGAAACACATCCTTCTTAGAAATTTAAATGAAGCAACAACAGTTCGCCAAAATGGCTGATGAATTAATAAAGTTTGTTACATCAAGAATAACAAATATCAAAAGCAGTACTCAATGCCCTATTTTAGATGTCATAATTACTTTTGAAGCGAACATTAAAGTGACTTTAAAAGTAGATTTTTATTCCTTTTTATTTTAACAGTAAACATGTAGTATTAATCTAACAGCTTTGGGGAACTTTGCTTATAATTATTCAACAATAAATATTTATTTGCCAACTGCAAAAATTCTTTAGATCTAAAATGCTTTTAAAGAATAAAGTTAAGCCATAAAACAAAAATGAACAAGTAGACTCTTGAGGAATTTCTTTTATAAAACTTATGGGCATTTTTGAAAAGTACTCTGAATCATTCAAATTAAATTGCGGCCATGAACGATATGCTTATAATAGAAATGCAGTTGAGTTTTTGACTAGTCTAAAGATCGTATTATCCCCGGCTACGTCTCTTTTTTCTCCTGGCGGTTGGCCACAGTGGCGTCGAACTCTGGAAACAGGATGCCAATCTCGCGGAGGGCAGATGCTTCGCTATCCGATCCGTGGCAGGCATTACGGGTATCGGATAGCCCGTACAACGCTCGGATGCAGTTGGGATCGCTGTATACGGCACGGAACACCTTGGTGGGACCTAGCAGACCACGCCACTTTTGGATGCAGGCCTCCGACTGCAGGATCAGCGCATAACAGGGTCCGCTGGGGAGACATATAGTTATTTTTATTGGTTTCAGTAAATTTATATTTAGTAATAGTAATCGGTTAAGACAATATTTTTAGATCGCGTTAATGACATGTTCGTCCATGTTTGAGGATTATTTAAAAGTCCTTTTTAATATTTTAATGACCATGGATCAGTCAGAAATAATGTCTTTATATTTTTAAGTAAAATAGTATCGGCAACAAAAAGAGAATTTTATGTGATCTTATTTTTAATTTTAAACTAGGTCAGAAGACACATTTTGGATTATAGATTACCAGCAGATGAATTGTATCCACTCCATCTGCTGGAAAATTAGAATATCAAACATGAAGAAAGGGTATGCAATCTATAGAAAATTCAAAGCAATATTTCCGAACAGACGTTCGTGCTCTTTATTCACTGTTCCCTTTTATGATTAAAAGGCTAAAAAATCGAACGACTCTAAGGGATATTTATTTTAAAATTGATTTGCAGAATAACGGCTGTTAGACAGTCAAGGAAACCGACTATAGCGTATCCTCTTGAGTTTTATGTGGTTCACCTATTGTTCTGGAACACCTTCCGATTATGGGAGTTATGCCTACCTGTTCATGAAGCTAGTGAGTCGGTTGTAGAAGAATTTGCCCTGGTGCTCCGCGTAGAATCGCTCCGACAGTTCTTTCGTAATGCAAACCTCCTTTTGGTCCAAAACGGTGAAATTCTGGGAGATCAGGGCCCGGAGCTGCTGCATCGCATAGGTGTTGCGCAGCACATGGGGCTTTATCAGAGCCAGGGTTATTTCCATTTATTTATTTTCCCAAATTCCTCTAAAAAAAAGTAAACAAATTAGCTAACCAAAAGTCGCCGGTTGCAGTTTTGATACATCGATAGGCGACGTATCGATATACGAAACTTAAACTTAACAGCTTGGCTCCACTGTAATATAAATTGTATTTACCAAGAAGAATTAAAATGTACAGCTATAGAGTATTCTTTGCCATGGACATTTTTGGGCGTTGTTGTTAAAATGGCTAAACACTTATTTAGAACATTTATGTATTCCACAAGCTTAAAAATTGCATTTGCTAGGACTTCAAAAGTAGTGTGATCTTGCGATAGTACATTTCCACCACATACCAATAGCTGTGTGCTGCGTGGGGTCACACTGGCCGCGACAATCAGCTGTTCGCATTACACAAGCAACCGCTTTTATAAGATTTACCTTCGTTTCACCGGATTTATTTGAATTAAAACAACATCATGCCTTTCATGAAGGGCCGCGAGCCCATCCGGCGCACCCTGAACTATCTGAATGCGGGAAAGCTGGTGCTCAAGGACAAGGTGCGCATCTTCAGCGTCAACTACAACACATACGGCGATCATCACGCGGGAGCAAGGTAAGTTTTGATCTGGCGAATACATGGAATCTACGATGATAACTCCGCTCCCCACAGGGACTTCGTGTTCTGGAACATCCCGCAGATCCAGTTCAAGAACCCCGAGGTGCAGGTGCTCACCCTGAAGAACATGACGCCCTCGCCCTTCGTAAGGTGCTATTTCGACGACGGACGGGACATGCTCATCGACGTGGACGGCCGGAATCGGGACGATATCATCGAGCACCTGGTTCAGGTGGTGGGCAAGACCCGGTAAGCACTTAAGATCCCGTCCTTATTTTCTTGAGAAAGTATACAACACTCTGCTAGTTTATCAAAAACTTATATTGGCCGGGATAAAATCTAGAGATATTTTCAAATTACCAAAATAAACTAAGGTTTTTATTGTCTAAAGAATAGGTAAGACGGAATCTTTCACTAGAATTAGCTAGAAACTATCATTTCTTCCCTAAAAAAGCGAAGAGTTGATAGATTTTGCGAACACATGGGTTTTAGTCCCATACTTTCGAATTGTGTTATTTTCTTAAATAGCTTCGAGTAGCATAGAAAGTTTTCCCAGTTTTTAAATAACTTTTATTAGACAGGATAAAATGTAAAGGTAATTTGAATGTGTAAGACAAATGTTTTACTAATATTTGCTTTTTTTTGTGGGTTTCAGTCTTAAAAATTCGATTTAAGTTATTTCTTAAACTAATTTCTGAATCCTCTTTTAAGAACTTTTGCAATATTAACCAGCACATGGACTAACACTTCAAAGGCTTAATATATTTTTAATTTTTATTTTTATTCTCATAAAAAACGATGTGTTTCGACAAATTATGTCATTTGAATCTGAGTATTTTATGGTTTGGGCGTGAATAATTAGCTGAGGTTACTATGGCAGTTTAAAGATTTATTAAATGTGTTTCAATTTTTTTACACGGAAATCTATTGTATGTAATTGAATAATGTCCTATTATTGTCTATTGAATTTTCTCTGATTCAAGCAAGACTATAGCTCTATTGATTAGTTTGCTTAGTTATAAGAGGCTCCTTTTGTCCTTCATTCCTTTTGTCCATAAATGTATGTGTATTACAATAATTTTGCATTCCTATCTTCTAGGGAGCAACTGGATGCGGAGGCGCGTCTAAGGGAGAGCAAGGACAACCCGGCCAACTTCGGCTACGGATGCGGCAGGCACTGCATCTGCGAGATCCCCGGCCAGGTTCCGTGTCCCGGAACGGTTAAGCTGCCCGATCACATGCGCGGCAAGGTCATATTCGCACCCAAGTAGAATTTCCGCCTTATATGTTTCTTTTTTAATAAATTAATTGTAAATTACACCTGCAAGGCTCGTCTGCTGAGGTAGCTGCCTAAGTACTAAAGTTTTTACAGACTACGGGGTGAGACGGTGGCTCAGTCAGAGACCTTAGCGCCGCTTGGGACGCTGCTGTCGATGATATGGTGCCGAGGACTTGCCGTAGCGCTGCGATCCGTCCCGGTCCTTGTTGAACTGATAGCGCTGTATGAAAGGCACGTTGGCCTCCCCTCTGCCCGCTGTGTTTAGCTCGAGATTGTCGTCCGTCTGCCGCTCCAAGACTTTCAGCTTGGCCTCGATGGCGCGAATGGCCTCAGTTTTGCTGATCTTCTCCTCGCGCTTGCCGGTTCCCAAGGCGGGTATCTCCAGCCGCGGCTTCGGTTTCTGCAGGTCGTCCTGCAAGTGGAGATGGAATTAGCATAATCAGTATTTAAAGAAGAGTTAATTTAAGCCTAATTTATTCATTTGACTAATTTGTAAGTGAATTGTGTCGGTAAGTGGTTTATGCGAAACATACGGACGGATGAATTAGTAGAAAGGCGTTTTCTATACATTAATTGTATCCTTATAATTTTTTACATAATTTCTTCAGATGGTTTAATTCTGAAGTAACGAGCAGTTCTTTGGGCTTTTAATAGTTAAATTCTCAGTCTATGATGGAGTCCATTAAATTTTGCAAAGTTTTCTAGTGACATTTTTAATACAAAGAAAATTATCAATCAAATATGTTAGAAAGTTTTTCTATTGGCTATTGAAAATAAACAAACGAATAAAAATCCTTTGAGTTGCTTACATATTTGATGTTTTTGGCCAGACGCACAGCTATTGAGCGATTTCCCACGCTGGTTCCGTCCAGTTTTAGCAGCGCATTGGTGGCTCCTTCGTTCTAAAAAGGATTGCATTTGGTTAACATATTAAACTTCGGACTTAAGATGGTTGAAAACGGCTAAGCTCCTGACATATTAATGAACTCTTGAAAACGTACAGCTAAATTTGCAAAAAACCATCCATCAAGCAAATTAGTCTCAAACGTTTTTCATCAGGTAATTTACAAATGTTTGGAGAATTTGGTCTTTGAGCAATTGTTCTTCTATTTTGTGTATAACAGCGAGTTGCTAAGCTAAAGCTGGTCTAAATATGTTGTAGAATATGTTACTTATTATACTTAGTTACTTGCGAAGTAATACAAAAATAGTATTTTAGGTAAATGCCCCTTTCACGAACTAAGTACTCTTGAGTTTAAGATAGGAATAAATCTAGCTACAAATATGTGTAAGAAATTATTTTCTATCGAGTAGAGAAAACAGATGATAACTAGCACTAGTAACCATAAGTAACCCAAAATTTGAATCTAGAAATATACAGAAATTAGTCTTCATAAACTAATCCTTGAAGAAAGAGAGTACCAATAAGTACAGAAAACTGAGATGAGAATTAGTGCTAAGAGGTCTTGTTTAGGAAAATTTGGTATTAAGGTTGGTACATCAAAGAAAATAACTGGGTATCATTATACAATCTAGGACTATGCAAAACCAGTTCTCAATTAATACTCTTTTAAGGAATAGAGTAGAAATGAGTACAGAAAACTGAAATGGAAACTCGTGTCGAAAAGCCTTATATACCCAAAAATGTTACTTGGGGAGGTACTTAAGCTAAATTGTTGGGAACACGTGGAAATGATTCCGCACTGCTCTTGATCCTGCAGCCGCCGCATGGTTTTCAACCAGCCAAAGTGCACCGTACTCACCTGCGCGAAGGTGACGAAGGCATAGCCCCGGGATTGGCCAACCATGGGGCCGCCCTTGTGGAAGAGCATGTCGAACTTCTCGATGGCACCGCATTTTTGCATCAGTTTGAGGAGTTGAAACCGATTGGGGAAATGCAAGGGGAACTATTAGCACGACCGATTTGCACGGCATTTTTCTATCCACAACTTACTCGGTGATGCGCGAGTCCAGGTTGCCCACCCAAATGCGCCGCGTCTCCTCGGAGTTCCCGCTGCCGCCGCCTGAACCACTGGATCCGGCCTGCAAGGACATTACACACTATAGAGGATCTGGAGCAAGGTATTACGCGGATTTACGCACAGCATTTGCCATTTTGTTTGCCAAAATAAACACAAAACCACAGTGTGTTGGATTCGGGTCAGCCGAGGTGAACTGCGGCCAGCTGTTCGGCAACCCACCACGAACAGTGCTGACACTGCAGCTCAGAGAGTGGTGAGAATATCGGCAAAATATTTAAAAATTATCAAATATTTAATGAAGGGATATAGTTAAATACAAAATTAAGACAAACCAAGTAGTTTTGATAAAAAAGCATTTGAGCTGATTTTTCCGGATTTTTGCCAAAATAATTTTCATACGGCATATCATCATAATTTTTTTCAAAAAATAAAATTTTTTAGCTGTGAATGCCACATTATTGGAAATTTTATAACAAATTTAATGAGGTATGACTTTCCATTATGCGACCATTCTTTTCCGTGGTTTTTATCAAAAAACCGAAAAATCGATCTGATTTTTCCGGATTTTGGGCAAAATAAATTTCATAAGGACTATCATAATGATTTTTCAAAAAAAAACAAAAATATTTTAGTTGTGAATGCCACTTTATTGGAAATTTTATTCAACGAGGTATGCCTTTCCATTATGAGACCAATATTTTTCGTGGTTTTTATCAAAAAAACGAGAAATTTCTTAAGGATTTTGGCCAAAAAAATTTTCATAAGGTTTAACCGCATGTTTCTTTTTTTTGAAATCAAATTTTTTAGCTGTGAATTTTGTAACGAATTCATCTAGGTATGACATTCCAACATAAGACCATTATTCCCAGGATTTTGATAAAAAAAAAAACCGAAAAAAATCAAGCTAATTTGTTAACAATTTTCATGTTTTAATTTTCAAGCTGTCAATGCCACTATATATTTATGTTGCTTTTGTCGATTTAGGGCTTGTTATCCCTATAAATTTTTAAATCCAATGCTCACTTCTTAAAGGATGCCATTCACAGAGGACAAGCATGGCAAAAGGTTTCCAAGCGTCCTAAACCGGAATGACAAGTCCACAAAACCCCTTGAAATATTCACCAGCCGGGTCAGGATGCAAATAACTTGATGGGGACCCATGTAGACACTGCTAATGCGCATTGTATGCGATAAGTTCCAGAGCTGCCCCTCCTCCCCAAGTCCTTTTAGCCGTCTTCTTCCACTGCCCCAAGGACAACTTCCGAGGACTTCATTTCTGGACACTGCCTCGTTGCGACTGCACAAACGCAAGCTATTTTTATGCTAAGTTTGGTATGAAATGTGCAAGAATCTGGTCCACATATGGCTTGAGTAGTCATGCATTTAAAAATCTTTAAAACGAAAATATGTTTTTAAAAACATGTAATAAAACAAACAAAAGTAACTACAAAGAATAATTGCTTATTTGTAGTTACAATTAAAAAAAAGTTTTAAGCTAGTCTACTAAACAAAAAGTATTTTAAAGGGTCCTGTTCAATCCATACCATGTTTCGAAAATATATGTTTTTAAAACCATTTATTTGGTATCTTTATAACACGTTTTAAATATTTTAAAGGGTCTTCACCATAATTAGGTGAAAGGTGGCGGTCAAGTATACATTGTACATATATTATTATATTACTGCTAAAATGTTTTTGAAGACTTTAAGTCTATCTTTAAAAGTATTCTTAACCATGGTTTCATACATGTTAGTTTTTGGACGGGTCCCATCACTGTGTTGCTGTTTTCCCTTCAGCACAAAGTGCCATCCTCCAGCTGAAGCCAATAAACAAGGATCCCGAGATGGGAGAGAAGAAGGGGTCCTGGCGACGAGGTCCTGGAAATACAGATGCAAAGTTCTTCCAGTGTCCTTTTGAGTTAGGTAGCCATGATGAAAAACTGGCGCTTGATCTTTGTCCTGCATCGCTGCTGCTTCTCCGCCATTTGTTTAAATAATTCACCGAGACGCCGGGCTCCACCATGCATATCGAGTTTGTCCAGCTCGGACGCACTCGCATGCATATGAAAGGAGTTTGGAGCTGTAGGCAGACACTGACCAAAAAACTATACAGTCCCGTAACTTGCATTGCTCTATAAATCTTTGAACTCCCAAAAGTAAAAAAAAAATCAAAAAAAAACAATTTTGGATCCTTTTAAGACTGCACATAAAAATTATTAAAATGTAGGAAATATATAGGTAATTCATTGGTCTTCTTTAATATTCGTGAAACGAGAATACGTTGTCTGAAATGGCAATAAAAAAATTATTATTATAAAAACTAACTAAAGGTCAAACAATTGAAACGAAAGTTTTAGGCTAATTTTCTGTGACTGCTAGCATCTTTTCTTGTTTAAACTACTTCCAAACATTTTGTGCAGATTTTTCACGAATTATTTTCAGAGTAAAAATGCAATTCCCAGCTTGGTAGGGATTAATCGAGCTTGAAGACCACAGTGTATCTCAGAAATGCATTTTAGTATGCATGCTGCAATTTCCATAAGGCATCCTGCTCCTGCCACAATTTCTGCGCTTATTCGTATGCCAATTTTTTATGGCGGAGAACTCGGAGCAACATGTTGGTCATTTTCTGCATACGTAATTCATCCAGCAAATCGCTTGATGGCGCCAAAATGGCAATTTAGTGGGTGCAGGTCATACGAATTACCCTGGCGAATTTGAAGCTTTAAGTCGCCAACTTAAGCCACAAATCTGAAAGTTTTAGAATGCAGTCAAATTGCAAGCAAAAACTTTGGTTCGAGACTTTAAGTTAAAATAATGAGCGTTTATATCCAGTCACAGAATACTACTATATTTATTTGCCCGAGAATACTACAATATTTATTTTTCTAACATTTTTGTTTATTTTTCTTGATGATATATAGTGGTAAAAATATGTCTATAGATGCCAATATGTTTGAAGTTAGCTTGAATGATACATAAAAGAGTTTCTATGAATTAGTGGGATCGCTGCTCAAATGACTATCATACTTTTTATTCATCTTCCAAAAATTTCAAATTCATTTGCTTGTACATTTTTTTTGTATGTGTTTGTTTTATTTTATTTATTTCATAAGCCTTTTTCAGCCACGAAGTGAAAGTGGTAGGGCAAAAAAAAAAGTGGTTCCAATTATGGATTTCATAATTTCCTTCCAGGGAAATTCTCTACGAAATGAATTTCCGTTGAGGGCAGACTTTGCCGGCTCCTGCTGCTTTATTTTGTTTTCGTTGCTACTCCATACATATGTCCCCACTTATCCACTGCCACGCCCTCCCCCGTTTCAGCCCCTTTCCGCCCCTTTTCAAGCCACTCCCCCACTGTCCTTTAACCATTTTGCCTTGCGTTCACCGCGCCGGCGGCAAATTGCAAAATGGACACCATTTTTTGGTTCTCCTTTTTTTAACATAGTTTTCTCTTTTTAGTTCATAAATATAACTACTTTTATAAATGCATTCACACAAGAATACACTGAACAAATTCAAATAAAATAATGATTAACAAATTTTATATATTGTTTTTAATTGTTCATATTACATTTATAGATTAAAAAGTTTACTGTAACTAAAACTATAAAATGCGCGACTTTATTTTATTATCTTTAGTATTTCATGTAAAATTGAAAGAGTTCATATAAGAAACCAATACAAAACATAGTGAATAAGAAGTTAACAGACCAAAAACTATATATTTAATAGTATTTCTTTCCGTGTTTATAGTTTAGATATGCTGATATGGAGGGGCCGCCAAAGAGGGGGCGTGGCAGGGGGCGTTGAGTGGGGGTGACACGCATGCAAAACTTTGTATAGGAAGCAAACCAGTTCAAGTGCTTGGAAAAGTAAAGTCGTCTGGTGACTTAAGTTGTTATAAAAATGCAAATTTTTTACAGCTTTTGCCATTTCCTAGAGCAACGTCACGAAGAAAAGGTGCGGGGAGGAGTGGGCGGGGAAGGTCGGGCAGGATATGTGTATGCCAGCATGAATATGGGACGATAACTACACGAAATGGTTGTAATGATTTTGTCATGAGTTCTGTTGTATGGCATAAACTAGGCTGGACATCCCGAGCAGGAAGGGGGCGGGGGAGGTGGAGGAGGAGGAGGAAGCGGAGGAGGAGCCCAGGAATGTCCAGCTTATTCCTGGTGCCAGTGGCCAGGAGCAGGACTGCGGCTGACATTCGAATCCTGAAGGCTGTGCTGGCAAAGGTACTATTTCACTGGGGTTAATCAAGGGTACAAGCCACAGACAAAAGGTGCTCAGATCCCAGAACACAGAAGAAAATGCCATGCTGATTATTCCTGCAACATATAAAATTAAGTATTTATATAAAAAACACATTGTAGACATGTACCAAAGTATGATAGAAATAAAAAAAATAATAAACTAGTGATACTAAATTTAAAAGTGACTGTGATAAAAATCTCATTCAAACAAATTCCAACTTATTATTACTCTGCAAAGGAATATAGAATTATAACACCAAATATGATGGTATAAAAGTCTTAGTTACTGTTTAATTTTTTGGTTTTCTATTGTTTTTCCATAGATATAGTTTTTTATATATTTGTTATTGCATTACAAAAATAAGTCTCAGAATTATTTAAATACTATAAATACTATTTACCTTGAGCGGTTTTTCATTGTTTTTCCATAGTTATAGTTTTTTATATATTTGTTATTGTACCACAAAAATAAGTCTTAGAATTATTTAAATATAATAAATATTATTTACCGATAAATACGCTACATAAAATGTGAATTGTTATTACCATAAAAACATTTTAAACATTACTCCCACACTATAAACAAATAAGTAATTATTAGTAATCCCGACAAGTTTGATGTTTTGTACCAAATTTTGGAAGATCTGGCAATACGGAGTCTGAAAAAAAAGAGCCTAAAACAGTAAGAAGCTTTAAAAATACAAATAAATAAATTAAAGAAAAAACAGATTGTTAAAAGGTACCTAATTGGATTTCTTCCATCACTGTCCACCGGCTTCTTGACCACCCAAAGAAGACAGAGATTCTCAGGGAGACCTCAAAATTATGGTCACGTCTTTGGCCGAAGTCTGCTCCTGGCATTCAGCACTCGATGGTCCCGAATATATTATAATATATTTGTATTTGCACACAGAAGACTTCCTGCGGAGACACCATGAATATGCTCAT